GAGTTCAATTCCCGGCAACCACATGGTGGCTCACAACCATCTGTAATAAGATCTGGTGCCCTCTTCTGGCCTGCAGACATACACACAGACAGAATATTGTATACATAATATATAAATAAATATTTAAAAAAACTGAAGGTTTTTGAGTCAGACCTTTCTCATTTAGCTGATACTAAAATCCACTTCTGACTTGAGTATTTCCAACCTTAAACAATATAGAAGATGCTTCTTATGAATTATCTCATTAGCTACCCACCAGGATTCTTGGGAGGAGAGTACAATCACAGCCTGTTCGCATGAGAGCCGGGGGGGAGGGGGGGAGAGGGCTGAATGGACTTTCCTGAGATTATCCTTCAGTTAGCAGTCCTCTGCCCTATCTGGATCCAGGACCATGACCCCAGTGTGTCTGTCCTACCAGTGAGGTGATTGATTTTCCTGCTTTGGTCTCAAGCTACTGCAAAGGCTGGTAAGGTTTCAATGAGGCTGAAGTATGTAAACCTTAGGTGGATAACACACCAAGACTAGAAAACTGGTTATTCTGAGACACACACGTCTTCCGTCTAACCCCCAAGTGCCACCTGTCTTCCGACCTCTCAGAGTTGAGCATTTTCATCTTTATTAGAGATGAATATGTTAAAAAATGACCTAAACGCCCAGTGTTGAGACAGTCATGAATGGCATAGAAAAGACGTTGACTTGAGGTCCTATACAAATATCAAGTGTTGGGGAAAGGCTTAGCACCCTCGTGGTGAGCAGAAGTGATCCATCATCCCGTTGGCTTTCCTCAATAGTTTCACGTCACAGCAGATACAGAGCAGACTTGTGGGCCTCCTAGTACAAGATAAAGACTTCATTAGGCTGAAGACTTGGTCTTCCAACCATAGCCCCATAGCCCCAGGGGCCTTAGTGTCACATTTGATAGGTAAGGACTTGACTGACAGCAAATGACTCCATCCTCCAAAGAATGCGACAGTATGTGGGCATTTGAACTCCATACTTCTACCTCTGTGCATTTACAATGGGCCAGCTGTTCAACGTTCTTTACTCTCTGAATACTCAATGATTTTAAAATGCTCAAACATGGGAAGGTTTTAGTAGCTATACTTTGCCTGGCTATAAAACAGATGAAGAATGACTGAAATATTTTTTTCTTCTGGTTTTTCGAGACAGGGTTTCCCTGTGTAACAGCCCCAGCTGTCCTGGGACTCGCTCAGTAGACCAGGCTGGCCTCGAACTCACAGAGATCCGCCTGTCTCTGCCTCCCGAGTGCGGAGAATAAAGGCGTGTGGCACCACCAGCGGGTGACTGTGGAATTTTTAGGTTCTTA